CACTGATTAATCAAAATTCGTTGTTGATTTTTTTAATTTAGATTGTTATCAATCAGCCCTAGAAGTAAACTATTGGCTTAAAGGTGCTATATGTAATGTTCTGACTGTACTCAGGCATAAAAATGCCCCAATATGTTTGCAGATATTTACAAAACATGCTAAGTTGACTTATTTGTTTCTTTGAAAAACAATGCTACAGCCAATTATTCTACTTTGAAATGTGCGTTCCAAGTCTGAATGTCTGTTTTTGTTTTGGTCTGTGTGATTCCGCCCACTGCCAATTTACCCAATAGTATTTCGAGACCCCGGGTTGCCAGTTGGTGGAAAACACAACACATTGCAACCATGAAAGCCAGCAAATGAACTGGGTCAGAGATCGCAGATTCTACCCAACCTAAAAAGTTCTATGATCAGAGGCATATTAAAATTTGGACTCAACCGGTGTTTAATATCTAATCTTTTTTCCCTATACTCCATTGTCTTTATACAGGTGGTGGCAGAGGCTATCAGTGTTGGAGTTGACCCCAACAGTAATACCACATTCAGCACAAGTTGGGACCTGGCCAGCGCTTTCTTCTTCTGTGGCACCATTGTCACCACCATCGGTATGGGACTGCCACATCACTGGCTGAACACACCTGCATGTTAAAGCTAGAGCCTGGCCTGACCTCTGCATTCTGGGGATCATTGGCACTGTGAGATGTCTAAAAATATCTGCCATCAGATCACAGCAAGTGTTTGTCTGTGGTCCAGGTTATGGGAACATTTCTCCAAAGACAACGTGGGGTCAGCTCTTCTGCATCTGCTATACACTGGTGGGCATTCCTTTGTTTGGATTTCTATTGGCTGCTGCAGGAGACCATCTGGGGACGTCGCTGAGGAACGCCATTGCTAAAGTTGAAGCTCTTTTATGGGTAAATGATGATGATGACAAACATAACCTCACAAGACAATCATTATTTAAAATATTATCATTGTATTTTTTTTATAAACAGTCTTTCATACACTTTCCTGGCTCTTATACATCAAGGTGCAGTAAACCTTTGTCACAGTGATTCATTTCCAGCTTTCTGGACATTTTTCTTCAGTCTTCTTTATTTTCTCCATTCAGAAGTGGAAGGTGAGCCCGACCATTGTGCGTGTCATCACCGCTGTGCTGTCCATCCTGCTGGGCTGTGTTCTCTTCATCTTTGTGCCAATTTTAGTCTTCCAGAAGGTTGAAGATTGGACTTGGCTAGAATCCGCCTACTTTGTGGTCATCACCCTCACTACAGTGGGCTTTGGAGACTATGTTGCAGGTACCACTGGGTGAAATCCTGATATGTTTGCTGACTTGCAACAGTTTGATGAATAGCTTGCACTTTATTTCGAGATCAAACTGATTGAAATTAAGATATATAAGCATCTGTCCTGTCTCTTGTCTTCTTGTTCAAGAATATGTTAACCCTCAGTGAAGAAGACCTCATTTAACCTTGGCACGCTCTTTCATGAAACGTAATATTAAAAAACAAACCACTGCAGTCATCTTGTGGTGGGCGTTTAATGGGTTGATTGTTTTTCAATGGCTCCATTCCACCATTGCCAATCCACCATTGAATCCACACTTAAAAGAATAGTTCACCCAAAAATAAAAAATCATGTACTCACCCTCATGTTGTTCCAAATGAGTGATACTAACGCAGAACACAAAACAAGATATTTTGAAGAATGTTTCAGCTGTTTTTGTCCATATTATGAAACAAAATTTATGAAAAAAAAATCACACAAAGGTAGAGTTCAGTTAATCCATACTGATATATTCAAAGATGTCTGAATTCAAATGATCATTTTTTATGATCAAAATAAACCTTTATTTACTCACAAATACAATCAAAACATTGATCAACGCACATATATGCAGACTACATCAAATATGGTGACACAAACCTCAAACATCAAATGCTGTCAAACCTCATTGGTTCTTGTCCAAACATTTTAGGTTTGTCTAACCATTTTTGTCTTTGTATGCATTAATCAAACGTTCATTTCAAATGTTTTCACTGAATTAATTTCACGTTAACTTGAAAATGTTTGGGCCCCATTGACTTTCATAATATGGACAAAAACTGCTGAAACATTCTTCAGAATATCTTCCTTTGTGTTCAACAGAATAACTTAAGTCAAACAAATTTGGAACCGCATGACGGTAATTAAATGATGACACAATTTTCATTTTTGGGTGAACTATAAATTTGAATAAATCACTCAATGTATTTTGTAAATTTCTTGTCCATCAGGTGATGGCGGTGATGCAGGTAAAGATAATTGGTACAAGCCTCTGGTGTGGTTCTGGGTTTTGTTTGGATTGGCCTACTTTGTGTCCATTCTTTCCATGATTGGGAACTGGATCCTGGTTCTTACCAAAAAAACCCGAGCTGAGGTAGGCCAATGATTCAATCTTGATGTCTAATTAATTTTTTAATCAAATGTTTTGAGCAGTTAATGCCTGGTCAGACTCAACACTGCAACTCAAATGTGATTTTTAAATTCTCTTCTCAATTCCGGCCCTTTCTATCTTCTTAATAACCTTCCTTCCATTTCCCCTCATACCCGTAGTTCATCTCCACATCTCCTATTAACCTAAAATCTGTATCAAATTTCAATCATTCTGTTCATGGTGACATACAAATCTCTCCATAACTCTCAAGCCTTTCCATTTCTCCTGCCCTACTTTCTGCTCCCAGATGGAGGGGTTGAGAGCACATGCCTCAGACTGGACTCAGAACATCCAGAACATGTCTGTGGATTTCAACATGTCTGGAAAATTTGAAGATCCTTTCAAGCGCACAAGGCGAAAGCGGCGTCACAGGCGCCACAGACACCATGGCAGTCAGGGTAGAGCCGGAGAGGATGGAAAAGAGGAGAATGAATCCGAATCCAGCTCCTACTCGGGTTCATCGGATGAGTCAGAAAGCAGCTCTGAGTCCCAATCGGACGTAACCCAAACAGACCGGGTCCCGGAGGGAGTGGGTAGCGACAAGGGCAAAGATTTAGTGAAAGAAGAAAAACTCCATGCCATGGCCAAAGATTCCGTCCTCTCTCAGCCCTTGGATTACCTTGGGGAAAATCTTGCGTACATCGATGAGTCTTCAGATGCAGTGAGTGGCAAGATTCACCTGGACCCCCTGCTGGATGTACCAGAATCGAACCCAGCTTCTACAGACAGGCCCAAAAGGAGACGTCAAAGGAGACACTTGAGAAGGGATCAACAGAAACCCAAGACTCCTAAAACCAGTCCAAACGAACCAGAGAATAAAGCGCCAAATGGAGACATTAGACAGAAAGATCCACCTACGCCAAAGCTGTGAGCGTCAAGGTGTTCACGGGGTTTGTAGCTCCTCAGAAAAACCTCTTTGGAATAAAGTTTTGCAACTTTGCTAGCTTTAGGATATTCTGTGCTCCACTGGGAAGGCACCTGGCATTATTCTCAGATTTTACTGGGACAAAATAAGAAACTATCCATGTGCCTAAAATGAGAAGGGGGGGGGTTAGGTGTGGTCAAATCTTGGACCCCTCAGCATGAGTGAGAACTTTTATTTGGTAATCAGATGGGGGCTTGAAGTGCAGGAAGGCCATGGTGATCAGACACTTAGTGCCATCTACTGGCCGTTCACGGCACATGACTGGCTCGTTTATGGATGCACTGACCATCAGTGAATGTTTGATTTGTGTGTGCCATTCGCGTCTTTCCTAATATCAGAATACAGGAATGACACTAATCCATGTTACTGATCCAACTCAAATGATGCCTACTGCTTGAGTTCATCAAACTGTAACGGTTTTGTGTTAGTGGTAAATAACATTGCTATGGAAGCCTGTTTCTGCTTCAAGTAAAAAAATAAAAAAGGTACCAATAATTTTATTTCTCATGTCTGCAAGTTTGACAGAGTTGTAACTTTTTTACTTTTTCTCAGGATTTCTCAATCTTGCAACTTTATAAATAATGACACTTTAGGTCTCACAATATAAGCATTTCTCATAATGGTCTTATTTTATTCCTAGTTGCCACTTTCCTGTAATTCCAATTTTTCTCATAATTGCAACTTCATCTCACACATGTCATATAACTCCATAATTACATTTGTGGGATTATATAATTATGACTAACTCCCACAATTGCTACTTTGTTTATTGTAACTTTACCATAAATGCGACTTCACGTCTCACAACTGTCATAGCTAGATCTTAAAATTGTGACTTTAAATAAAAAATTTTTTAAGTTATGCATTACAGTTGCAATTATATTTCTCAAATCTTATTGCAACTTTTTAATCTTAAAATTGACAATGCAACTAATGTTCATAAATCCACCTGTCTCATAATTCAGATTTTTTAATATTGCAACTTCATCTCACACATGTCATATAACTCCATAATTACATTTGTGGGATTATATAATTATGACTAACTCCCACAATTGCTACTTTGTTTATTGTAACTTTACCATAAATGCGACTTCACGTCTCACAACTGTCATAGCTAGATCTTAAAATTGTGACTTTAAATAAAAAAAAATTTTAAGTTATGCATTACAGTTGCAATTATATTTCTCAAATCTTATTGCAACTTTTTAATCTTAAAATTGACAATGCAACTAATGTTCATAAATCCACCTGTCTCATAATTCAGATTTTTTAAACCCAGTTGCCACGGTCTTGTGACTTTATCATAATTGTGACTGTGTCTAACTATTAATATAACAAGTTTTCCACTTTTTTTGCCTTACATCATGTAATTGTGACTTTAAAGCTCAGTTGCCACTTTTTTTTTTCAAATTGATCATTTCTTATAATGGCGACTAATGAGGCAGAAACAGGCACTGGTATGGTGTACATGCATCTTGAACAGGAAATCTGCGTTCAGATAGCTCATGAGTGTGGTGCGTGAACTTTCCCTTAACTCATTAAAGTAACTTGAGAGGTTCAACCCTTCTAGGAACTAAGACGAAACCACATCAGGACTGACCCGTAACAAGGTTTATTGCAATTCAGCACTGCGGTTAGTTCATTACATTTGTGGTCAAGTTACAGACAAAGGAGGAAGGAAAAGATTAACTTTGGTTACACAGTACCGTAATCCTTTTATTTTGTCACAGTCTGTATTTCACTGGGGTTTGATCTTCTGTGTTCACTTTAAAGACCTGCAGGTTAAAAAAATAATAAATCCATCAGAATCCTAGTACTTTTGTACAGTCAAAAACGCTATTTAAAATATATGAGACTACATGGGTGTAATGTGCGCACCACATTCATAGAGCTTGTTGATTCTCTGAATGTCAATGTCAGACAATTCCTGCCTCTGTCCAATCGGTACTAAAGGGTTAGGAATTGGAATGATGGTTTCCATGCCATATTGAATGGTGAAGGCTGTCCTGCAGATGAAGGGTGAGAGTGAATTCCCTTGAGGATGTACTTTATATATCCGTACTGAAGCATGAATTCAAAAGTAATGTGTGAAGTTTTACCTTCCATAATGCATGATGGAGTTGTAGTCATAACGGGTATTCAGATTATTTGTGTCCTTTATCTGAAAGTTGTGTGCAGATGCTGTGCAAGGGCAAACAAGTGTTCATTGGTACGGAGGATTTCATTACGATAAAATAAAAATATTTTTTAACAATCACCTCTAGAATTTGAGATTTGTCCACATTCTCTCACACACACACACACCTTGTGGAATATTCTGCCAGTTGATCCAGATGTACTGGTCTCTGTCGCTCCTGGTGTGTTCGTGGTGGAACCCCAGAGAATGGAGGAGCTCATGTTCAATGATCCCGTGAAAAACACAGCCGCCCACAGACAGAGACAACTGCTGTTTACCTCCAGATCTCCCTACAGTAGACGAGCAGCTGTAAAGAAAAAAAAAAAAAAATTCATAAATTCAAGTACACTACTGAAATTCCCCTAAAAAAAAATATATATATATATATATATATATATATATGAACCCTGCAAATTACAGCGCAACAAATTTAAATAGGTGTAAACTTAAAAAAACGCGTTTAATTAAATTTAACGGCCCGCCCGAGACCTGTACATTATCTTACACTTCATACAGTTGACAAACATGCAGCGCAACAACTATACAGTCCATAAATGCAGTTATGTGCCCCTAAATTGAGAGATATATGGCCAAAAAGCTCCGCTTTGAGTTGGTCTCATTTTTATATCATATGATAAGCGATATCACGAACAGCGAGATCAATATCACAGGAGTGCCGCTTTTGTCCCAAATAACAGGAGTGCAAATGGGATTGTAATACAACAGTTCAGTAAATAAGTTATGGTGTTATATTTTAAAACACAATAGTGTCCGTTTTTGCTCAGTTTTGCCGACGCAAATATTACCTATTAAAAGCCACAGCAGAACTGTTGTGCTTTTCCAAGCAACAATTTCTGAAGGAGTCAGCGTTTTGAACGAATCCGATGAACAAATGACATTCATTAAGACATTTACCGCCACCTATACTGGCAGTTTTAGTTTCCTATTTAGAGTATCATTTCACACACAAAAAAAATAGCCATTTACGTATTATTATTATTTTTTTTAAATCATTGGGATCATTCACCCAAATATATATATATTCTAAAGCTGTTTTTTTGTAATATTCATTTATTATGTAACACAATAATGGCTTAATTCTTTTGTGCATCGTTTCTCAGCCAAATTTGATGTGCGATTAATTAATCACCACATTGTGTAATTCATTAGACTACTTTTTTTTTTTAAATCGATTGACAAACTTAATTTATAAATATTTAGTATATTTATATAAAAAGTAAAAACCATTAAAAATGACCAACATTGTCAAAGTCAAGTAGTAAATAACTCACCTTTGTTTGCCTGCAGAATTCTTGAGAATATATCCACATCATCAGACTGGATATCTGAAGAACGAACGGCAATGTTAAACCAAATGTGTGTGCATTTTATTGGTCTAAATTAGTGGTTCTTAACCCTGGTACTGGGAACCCAAATAATGCATAAGTTAGTGATGGGTCATTCGTGAACAATTTGTTCATTGCGTCTGTCATGGGACAAATGAATGGAAGACTTGGGAGGTAAAGTAATTTGTTTTTCTCAAATTACCATTGGTTGCATTATAAGGAGTCACTTTGGAATATATAGGATCAAGATTGCATAGCTGGACATGCATAGGTTTGGAGAATTTTGCTGTTGAAAATATTTCACGCCACTCAAATGAACGAAATGACTTGAATAAAGAGAGATCCGTGCATTTCTCTTATCGGAGTCAAGCACCACCGTTCTACCTGATTTGAAGAACACATGAGGGTTGAATAGAAACTCACCTTGATCAACCTGTAGAAAGAGCAGGATACAGAGTGAGTGAGCGAAGGAGTGAAGGATGCTCAAATCTGAGAGCTGCAGCTCTTACCGTAGCAGGAAACGCTCGAGAGAGATTTAGCAGCACAGCCGAGATGGAGAAAAGTAATATGCAGTCCATTTCCCCCCAGTTTGTCTCAAAAAAGACTCCGACCTGAGAGGGGATCTGTGAGAGAACTAAGTAGGACACATTCTAATATAGAAGACATCTGGGAGTGTCCAGTATTTGTAGGGCTGCACGATTAATCGAATGTGATTGTCAGGTGTAGTATCTTGTCAGTCGGTTCTGTAATCAGCGGTAAATCTCCATCACATGCGTGCTTTCACATTGAGCAGCATTTACTACACAGAGCCGTAGTTCACTGACAAGCTACGCAAACAGCTTTCATAATCGCAGAACGATTTCAAAATCGCGCTATTAAATCGTCTGCGATTATGAACGCGATTTTGTGTAGCTTGTCAGTGAACTACGGCTCTGTGTAGTAAATGCTGCTCTATTTGAAAGCATGTGAAAATACCACATTTAATAACATGTTTTTACTCCAAACTCACTTCATAACGTCAGTTGAGTGTTTGAAGTAAATCCTTCTGTGAGATGATGTGGCTTCTTACACAGAATAAGGCATACAACATATTTCATAGTATTTAAGCAGTGATAAAGGCTATGTCAATTAGCATTGCTTTATTATAATAAAAATTATAATAAGACAAACTCAGATAAACCATATATTGTCATAGTCGTGTGTTTATTAGTCACACTGAATTAATGAAAGCAGTTAAATCTTCTGTTTATTCAGCAACCGCTATCCACCTGTTTCCAGGGGGCGCTACTGTAAAAAAGAACGTGGGTACAACTTCCGGTGAGGCGGCGGAAGTAGTATACCAATGGTATTTTTTTTATTATTGCAGTTTGTAGAACAAAGAACATATAAGGGCAATAACATTTAAATTAAATTAAATCAAAACAAATACTTTAAAAAATATAAATTAAATAGGAAAAGCAATAAAAAAATCACATGTCTGTAAACAAGTACAAATAATTACAAATTATTCAAAGAATAGATTGAAGGCTTTAAAGTAATTTACAGTTTTTTTTTGTTGTTTTTTTTTGCTTTATTTCTTTTAACGTATACAGGTAGTGACCTATTTCTATTTTAAAATGAGTAAAATTCGTTTTTTTCACTGCCCATTTACATTTGTGAATAAAGAATTTTCCATATGTGACCCTGGACCACGCACGTCTTAAGTGTCAATTTTATCTTAAGTCTTAAGTGTTAAAAATCTAAATACTGAGAAAATCGCCTTTAAAGTTGTCCAAATGAAGTTCTTAGCAATGCATATTACTAATCAAAAATTAAGTTGTGATATATTTACGGTAGGAAATTTACAAAATATCTTCATGGAACATGATTTTTACTTAATATGCTAATGATTTTTGGCATAAAATAAAAATCTATCATTTTGACCCATACAATGTTTTTTTGGCTATTGCTACAAATATACCCCAGCGACTTAAGACTGGTTTTGTGCTCTAGGGTCACATATATAATGAGTAAATTCACAATATACCAAATTTTGAAGTCAACAGTATACTCATAAAAAATTAAAACATCCTTTTCTTTGAGTTGCAATGCAGTATTAGTACTTTGTTTAACAAAAAAAAGCAAAATTACACCAAAATAATTTTGTATAAATACAATCATAAAATAAATGGACAATACTCTCATTTTCCTCTTTACAGAAAACACACTTCAAGTCAATGTCTTTACAAAACTTTGCAATGACCTGTTTTACAGGATAAATACGATGAACAATCTTGTATGATACTTTTCTCATTTTATTTGTGATACAAAAACGTCTGGAGATCTTAAAGGTTTCTTTCCAGCTGACATCTTGAAATTGTGATCTCCAAAAACCAATGGCTAAAGGAACATTGGAAAGTTGGCCAATCGTTCTAAGATAATTATTATTACATTTTTATTATTTTATAAGTATACCTTCCAGTTTAAAACTGAAATCTACATTTGGTTTTTCGAATATATCATTTCCTAATAAATTCCTAAGTTCTGAAGGAATGGCATTAATTACCATCACATACTCCTTAACAGGTATATAAAATGAAAATTTTTCTAAAAACTCTGAATATGTAAGCACATGACCATTACTACTATTCCAAAGTTGTGAAACCAACTAAATATTTTTTCTACCAATTGACTAAAAAAATTGATTTATTTTGGTGTGCAATGTATTTATTATTCCAAATTAAGCATTTGTGAGGGGACAAATTGTGTTTGTATATAATCATCCATGATAACAATACCTGTTTGTGAAAATTGGAAAGTTTTATGGGAAGCTTGCTAATATTAAAATTACAATTAAGAAGAAATTCAATTTCACCTACTTTTTCAAAAATAATATTAGGGATGTAATTCCATAACTTATCTTCTGAACAGATATAATTTTGAATCCACTTAATTTTAAAAATAGTGTTAGATATTTCAAAATCAAGTATATTTAGCCCAGCTTGATTAAGTGGATTACAAAGTATTTTTTATACAAATAATGATGTTTATTTTTTCAAATAAAATTATATATGCATTTATTTATCTCATTAATGATACTTTTTGGAATATCTATAGCCATTGCGGTGTAAACTAGTCTGGATAAACCTTCAGATTTTGATAATAAAACTCTCCCGTTTAAAGAAAGGTCTCTCATCAGCCAAATGTTAAATTTCTTTTGAATTTTGTTCATTATTGGGGTATAATTAAGATTTATTCTTTTTGATTTTTGGATATCATAATTACTAAATAGTATAGTCTTTTATTGGAATGCCACAAAATTTAGACAAGTTACTGGGTCTTTCTTTTAAAGCAAACAATTCAAATTTTTTTATATTTATAGCTAACCCTGAAACTAAATAGAATTCACTTTTAATTCTTTTATATCTTTTAGAAAAATTGCCATATCATCTGCTAACTGGAAACATTTAATGCATTATTGGTCAACTGGATACCTTGAAATGGACTGATTTTAATATGAAGATACAATACTTGCATGACCAATAAAAATAACAGAGGAGATAATGGATCTCCTTGTTTAACACCTCTACCTATATTAAATCTATGAGTGGTCCCGAAGGGTAGTTTAACAGAGCTATTGCAATCATTATATAATTTAAACAAAAATTGTAGTCAATCAAATCTAATATTAATCGAATATTATTGCCAATTTATCTACCACGTAAGAAGCCAGATTGACAATCATCTATAATTTCATTTAAAACTTAACTTTAATTGACTTGCAAATATATGTGAAAGTAATTTAGTATCATTATTGATTAGAGTTATTGGTCTCCAATTTTCTATATTTAATAGGTCTTTGCCTGGCTTAGGAATCAATGTAATCAATCCTTGTAACATAGTTGGCAACATTACTTCATTTTGCAAAGTTTCTTTAAAGACATATAAAAGAAACTCTGAGATATCTTCTTTGGACTCTTTATAAAATTCACAGGTCAGCCCATCGTTTCCTGGTGCTTTATTATTTTTAAGCTTTACAATGCTTTTATAAATTTCTTCAAGAGTTATGTCTTGATCACATATGTATTTAGAATGATGATCTATAGTTTTTGCATTTTTTTAAGTGAATCTAGAAAAGCAGCATTACCTATATTATTATTTTGGGCATATAACTTTTCATAAAATGTAACAACAAAATTAGGTATTCATTTTGGGTCCACTGTAAGAGAATCGTTAATCTTGAATTTCTTTAAAGAGGAAAAATCTCAATTTTTTCTCTCAAGATTGAAAAAATATTTAGAATTTGATTCACCTTTTTCTAACCACTTTCTCCTTGACCTTATAAACGTACCCTTAGCTTTATTTTCATAGATTTGTTCTAATTCCAATTGTAATTTTATTAAAAGATTTTTTATCTTGTTCACTTTCTATTTGTTTGTCATTATGTTTTGAATTAAACTATTTCTTTGTTTCTTTTGGTTTTGGCTATTTCTTTACTTCTTGAGACTGCAAATTTTCTAATTTCATATTTCATAATTTCCCAATTTGTTCCATACAATTGTAATTTTATTAAAAGATTTTTTATCTTGTTCACTTTCTATTTGTTTGTCATATATATCCATTATGTTTTGAATTAAACTATTTCTTTGTTTCTTTTGGTTTTGGCTATTTCTTTACTTCTTGAGACTGCAAATTTTCTAATTTCATATTTCATAATTTCCCAATTTGTTCCATATAAGCCTGATATTTTAGCATTATTGTAACATCTCTTTATCACACTTTTAACCTCATCCTTAAACTGAACGTCTTCAAAAGTAACAGTAATTTCCAGTAATTGAGTTCTTGTATCACCAAGGCTGATAAATAAATGGATCATTCTATGGTCACTGAAGACTGAAGGCACAATGTCCGTCTCCTGAATTTGATTCCCAAGTTCCTCAGATGTTAACCAAAAGTCAATTCTAGATTGTATAGATCTATCCTTATTACTCCAAATAAAGTCTATCTTATCAAGATTTCTGTGCCTCCATTCATCCCAACAATTTAATTGTGAACATAAATGAAATATATCATTATATAGGGACTGTCTACTGATATGGGGAGGAAAACAATCCAAAAAAGGATCATTATTATTAGTGTTCCAATCACCCCCTAAAATCAACTGGGCACATTTTAAAGAAATCCAAAATTTCTTCTCTAAAATTTCATAATAACAACCTGTTTTGTAGAGTATAATTGTCACCATAGATGTTCCCCAAAAATATAATTATCTTCTAAAACTAAAATTAACCATCTTCCACAAGAGTGAGCTTTACTTTTGAAAATTTTCCCTTTATAATTACCTTTCAAAACTGTGACCCCTGCTGATTTATTACTCCCGTATGCCAACCAGATACCACTACCCCATTGATTTTTCCACAAAAAAAAAAAAAAAAAAAATAGATATCAGACGTTACTGCATGAGTTTCCTTTAAAAATAAGTCAGCCTTAAATCTAAGAAAAAAAAAAATAAATTTAATTTTCTCTTTAACAAATCACGAATGCCCTTAACATTGAATGAATATAAACAAAGACATACTCTCTTAATAGATTACCGTAGTCAACTGTTTTCCATTCACCCAAGAACAACATTTGCCACAAAAACACCAAACAGCCTATACAACATTTTCAAACTGGAAGTA